TGTTTCTGACATCTCTAACTACACGGATATGATCAGGAACATTTTATAGAGAGCTTCTTCCAGTTCTTTTATAAACAATGAACTTGGAACCAGAGCCCATATTAACTTTAGATATTCCAAAACCAGAACCTTTAGCTTTGATAAACCTGTGTACGGTGCCCCCTGGTGGCACGACAGCGGTACTGACCTGTTAACACTAGATGTCCCGGAGAATTCCAGTTTTCCTCCAGCCCCCCCCCCCCCTTCTAGTTAGTGTATTCACTCTACCTTGCTAACTGTCCTTGCTGTAATGCTAATAACCTGTGATGTGACCAGTCCTTCTACAGGAGGCTGGATAAAGGCTGAAACTAACTGGCATCAGAACCAGAGCATGCTCCAAACACTTTCATTACCTTCCCCTGCAACATCAGACCTTTCTGCAGGAATATCTTGATAAGTCAGATCTAAATCTTTAATTTAAACCTATTGAACAACCAGATATCATACGGGTCCTAGTTCCTGAGCTGAGAACAGGTCATAACCAGCTTTTCCAACAAGGCAAGGCAGAGCCTATTTATATTGTCCATTCACCAACAGACTCATTTATATTGCAAAACTCACTATGTGAAAGAAACTTAGAGAATAATTGTATCTTGTCTGTTCTCGCCTTTACACGTCATTCAACATTTCAGCTTAGAGAATGACAAACAGTCTGATTTCAGTATAGCAGTAACATTAATTCCACCAAAGAAAAACTCTACATATGAAGCTACAATTGTCCCATTTAGCAGTTTCTACAAACCCAAGGTGAGTCCTTCCTGCTTGTGTGACAGGTATACTGTGTGCAGCGAACACAACGCTCAGTGCTGTGGTTCCTGTTGCAGAGATTGGACACCTGGCCTGCTTAGAATAACAATGAAACAATCTAAAAAATAGAGTTTAACACATTTTCCCAAAGTAAGAGTTGTAGTGTGAACTCAGTTATCATCTGATCGCTGCGCTGAAATCATTGTGCTGACCTAGTGTGACCTAGTTATATTAAATTACAAGTATGATCCCCACCCCCCACCCCACTCTCATGTAAAACAGTCTCAAAGAGAGAGACTTTAGCTAAAACTGAAACTGCAGGGGGTGGACTGGTTCTCCAGCCACAGCGCTAATGGGGCATTTACATCTGAAAAGGGATTCATGAGTTGATAAGTACTGCGGGGGGACTGGAGGCTCACGAAAATTCTCCTATCTCTGGGTTTTCTAGTGTTAAACGTNGTGTTGCTCTCGATGTAGTGAAACATTGTAACACTTGGTGTTACGATGTTGCAGGTGTTACAGTGGGTGTTACAGCTTTCACTTCCTTTTTGCAGCATTGCTTTGGGTATTGCTGTGTTGTTCTGTGTGTTGCAGTGTAACAGGGATGTTCTATTGTAGTTCTAGTGTTACACTGTTTTCGTCGGGGATTATGATGAATTTTTGGGTGTTATTGGATTACGATGGTTGTAATGTATAGTTCTGGGTCTTTTCATTTCATGTGTTACAGTATAGATGTAAATCTTACTGGGTTTAAGAATCTTGTTCTGGCTGTTTTTTTATAGTTCTGGGTGATCAACACATTCCAATGTGTTGGTATGATAATTGTGGGTATTAATCATCCATTCATCAGGGGGTGTTCTGGGTGTTACAATGTACCGTGTAGTCCATGGTGTTCTAATGTAGCAGTGGCTGTTAAAATGCTGTTCTGGGTGTTAGAGTATACTATGGAGTTTTAGTGTCTTCTAGGTGTTCCAATGTTACCGTGTTGGCGACTGTGGGTGTTCTGGTGTGGCTGTGGGTGCAGGTGTGACCTCACCCTCTCCAGCGTGATCTCTTCGTACTCCAGCTCTCCCTCGGATCCGTTCATCTGTAACGACATGCACAGATGAAGAGAAGAGTTGAATCACATTCCAGCATCTCCGCTGCTCGTTGCTACGGTAACCTTGTGATAACAGCTGTTGCAGCCTCAGGGGGCTGGTTACCTAGGCGACTGTGGCTGTAGCCAGGGTAACCGCTCTCTGTTATTCCAGATCTCCAGAACAGGGCAGGAATGTTACATCACTTCCTGCCCTGAACCAGCCAATCAGAGGCTGCCTACCTCCTGTTAGTGGTCTCCAAGGCTGAGCTCCACCTTCATGGACCTGGACCCGTAACGTGTCACACTAACACAGCTAAAGATGCAGATGGTGGGAGGTTCTCCTGCATCACCACTGAGCAGTGGAGGAGTGGAAGGTAATCTGACCTGTCCTGATGAGATGGACCGTCCCTAAGGTTCTGGAGGGCTGGACCGCCTTGGCTACCACCCCTGAAACCAGTTCTGCTGAATGGACCGAAGCTTAGGCTGAATCTGATCAAGAATCAAGAAGGTTCTACAGTCCTTCTGCTTCTGATCTCCAATATTTTGATCCAAACAGCAACAGCAGAACCGCGCCTTGGTTCTGATGATGGATCTGAGAAACGCCTCAGTGATGATGTCATCATGAAGGTCAACCAGAAACAGGAGAAGAAGGAGGAGCTCCATGGCAGCAGCATCAGGACCATCCCATGATCAGAAAATGATGGGTCCAAAGTTTCTGAAGATGTTTGGGTGACTTTAATGTGGTTCAGTTTTTCCTTCCTCCGTCAGTTAAATTTTTACCAGTTACCATGGTAACAGTGGTGCTGTTTGTATCAGGTCCAGCATGGTTAGAGGTTCTGATGGTTCTGATCCGTTTATATAGCCTCTTTCTATCACAGTGACAGATTATTTCCTTGGTTCTTCAGAACCTCAGTCAGGTCTAGTTGGTTCTGAAACTTACCTGTCCTCCCGCTGAAACAGAACCGGGTGGATCAGAACCCAGTGGTTTAGCGGGTCTGCTCCAGAACCCTCATGGATCACCAAAGCAGGAAGTGATCAGAACCAGGTCCAGAACTGAAGGTAAAGCATCAACCCAAATGTTTCAGTGGATTAGATGGACCGATGGGTCTTTGCAGAGGAAGATCAGGTAGATGTCACGTGTTGTGGAAGCACTGCTAGTTCTAAAGCAGAAGGTTCTGGAAGCACTGCTGGTTCTGGAAG